TCGATTGAACATCTTGGCCAGCGACCAAAAGAGCGAGTGTGTCCTTGTGTGTCTTTGTGTGGCCAAAGATCGAGAACACGGGAGAGAACTGCGCTTTCTTCTGTTTTGGGAGCTGAGCTGACTCCGTGCCACCCATCAAGCTCGAGGCGGATGAGGCTTCGAAGAACTTGGCGCTGGGCTTCGCCGACGGCGACGTCTACAACTGCACCCGGTGCTCCTTTTTGTGACAGGGCGCTTTGCAGCCCCCCCCCCCCCCAAAGCTCTGTGGGGCTCCGATCTGTGGGAGGTACTCCTCGGATGCTGAGTGGATTCGGCGAGTGCAGGGATGGCCGCAGGAAGCTTCTCGGCTTACTGCTTTCGTAAATTTGAGCAAAAGCCTCTCAGCCCAGTCTTTTGCTTTGTTTTTTGGAGGTGCGCTACCAGTACTGGGCCCTAAGACTGAGGCCATCGGATGGTTCCAGGACTTCTTGCAGAATCGTCCAGGCAATGCTCCTCCCGACGGCTATTTGCAGGAGCCTGTTTGGGGGGGCAGAGGAGAGCTGGGACAAAAAAGCCCCTGACTTGAGGACCTCAGCGCCGGCAAGCGGCCCGGCGAGGGCAGCACGCTCATGGACCTGGCCCAGCGCCCAGCTCTTGCGGCGAACGCGGCTCTCTCTTCCTTCCTTTTCGCCACTTTGGGGCCCGAATTCAGGCCCTGGCTTCGGACGCCTTCCGCCGGACGGACCCCGTGGCGGACCTGCAGAGGCCAAGTCCCATGCCTCTTGAGACAACATCTGAAGACATGCAGGGCTCAACCTGCGGTCGTCCCCTGCTCCTTCAGGAACCTTCAGCGGCAGCCGGAGCTCGACCGTCAGCGCCAGACGGCGGAGAAGCGTTGAAAGAGCCCGAAAAGCAGGGGGCCCACACGATGCAGCCACCACGTTGCATAAGCAAAGGATTTGGCTCCAGGTGCAGGGTCTGTGACAAGCAGCTGTTCATGGGGCAAGGTCGGTGATGAGGAAGCTCCGTCCAAGCTGATACCTGTGTCTGATAGCGACATGCGGGAGCCCAGGAGGTGCCCAAAGAGAAGCCGATAGATCATGCGTGGAGATGCGTAGGCCCATGTAGGCCCTTAGGGTTCGATAGAATCAAACGTCACTTTGCCAACACCATAGGCTCGCAGGACGCTCCTGGCGTTCGCCCATATGGAGGTTGAGAGCGTAGCATTTCCGAATGCCTGGAATGTCGGTGCCAAAGGCGACAGAGAGAAAGGCAAGGGCCAGAAGGGAAAGGGGAAGGGCAAGGGCCAGAAGGGTCAGAAGGGCAAGGGCAGGGCGGGAAAGGCGGGCACGGGTTCGCGGGAGTCGGAGGACCTGCCCGAGGAACGACGCCGAGCTTTGATGGGCGAGTTGGAGGCCTTGGCTCAAGGCACCGAGACCGGCGCTGTCCCTCGCGTGGGGGATCGCGTCCTCCTGCAAGTTCTGGGCAAGGACCGCGCGGAGCTTCATGGTCGCCTTGCGACCGTTCGAGGTGTCCTTCCTGGTGCCGCTGCCTTCACGGTGCGACTTGAAGAGGGAAAGGAGGGAACGGAAGGAACGGAGGGAAGGGAGGTGACGGCCTCTGCAGAGGACCTTCGTGTGGTGGAGGCGAGGGCTTCGCCACTGCCCGAGACATCCCTCACTTTCCCGAAGTCCTTGACGGGCTTGGAAAGGAAGTTCGTGCACGAAGCGGCGGAGGCTCTGGGCCTCGTCTCGCAGAGTTTCGGCCAAGGCCCTGAGCGCTACATCGCCGTCTTCCGCCCTGCCCAGGGAGCCCCTGTGACGGGCGTGCCGGAGCCGGAAGCGGCGGAAGCGGCGGAAGCGGCCGCCGATGCGGACGCGGACGTTTGGATCTCGGGAGTGGTGCTGGACGAAGGGAGCCAAGACTTGCTGAAGAGCGCGGTGGCTGTGCCCGACGACTGGCACGTCTTTGCCGATCGCTGTGAGCTATGCCGCGGGCCCTTGAGCAACCCGAAGCCCCTTGAAAGCGCCAACTTGAAGCGATCCGTCACAGCAGAGCAGAGCAAAGAGCTCCAGCGGCTGCGGCCCGCGATGCCCTGCGAGCTGCGCGTCTGCACCCTGGCCCGAGGCCGGGAGCTCTAAGTCTAAGTTCCCTCCGCAGTTGCAATGTGTGCGTCTCTGTCTTAAGGCAACGAAGGCATCGCCGTGGGCCTGCTGGGGCTGCCAACCTTGGATCGGAATCCGCATGTGCTGGTCGCTGCGCGCGGAGCACGTGGAGCCGGCGAGAGGTGTCTCGCTCTCGCCGGCGTGCGCTGGGAGCCTTGGACGGGGGAAGCCCTCCTCCTCCGAGGCCAGCTGAAGCAGTGGCACAAGGCGGAGCTCTCCGAGGGAGGCGGCTGAGAGAGCAGAGATGCCCTGCAGCCATGCAGCCGGAGTTCGCAGAGTGCGCTTCGGGCGGCTGCCCCGTACCCCCGCCCCACGGGCGAAAAAGATATCTGGCAGCGGCGGAGCATGTGCTCTGAAAAGCCGGGGAGACTGGCGCGCTCGCAGCATGGCCGACCATGAAGACCTGAGCCGGAGCCCTGGCGCTGAGCCGGAGAGAGTCGAGAGCTTCTGCAAGCAACGAACAGGGGCCTCTGTGCGGTCTAGAGAAAAAGCCGAAAAATTGCGGGAGCGATGGCGTCTGTCGTAGTGGACTTTTTCTGGGCACCGTTCCGCAGGCGCCGCCAGCTGGGTTGCCGGGCACCTCCGAGGCAGCTGTCGTCTTCGGCGCTCAGGCCGACCCAGCAAAAGGCTGCATGTTTTGAGCTGTCTTGAGCTGTTTTGCAGCTCGGATCAGCGCAGAGGCGGCGGCACTCCCGGCGCTCTGGCGTGACCCGGCGTGTACTTGGATTTGCTCGGATAGAGCTCCAGACGGCTTGTCAAGTGTCATTGTTGTTGTGAGCGGGAGAGAGAGGGGGACGCTCCGTCGTGGAACTGGGCTGCGGAACCGGCTATGCCACGGACCCAGCATACAACGAGCCCTCTCTGAGTGTTCGCTCCGCGCGCGCGCGGGGGCGCCGAGACAGGTGGGGCTCCTCCTGGCGCAGTTGGGCGCCCGGGTGACGCTCACGGACCTGCCGAAGTTCCAGGAAGCCGCCGCCGCCTCCATCCTGGCGACGGGACCCCACATCCAGCCAGCGCCCCAGGTTTGTCTTTTTGTGCGATTAGGGCCCCAAAGAACAAGGGGCTGCCAGCCCCAGGCCGCCGGGCAGGGCCAGCTTCTGCGCCTCGGCTCAGACCGCTGCCTCTCAGTTGGGAAACGGTGTCGTCTCTGGGGCTTTTGCTCTCCGAGGCTGCCTCGACTGGGCCGACGTGGACGCGAACGCCCGGGCGCTGCTGAAAAGTGCCCACGTCCTCGTCGCGGCCGAGCCGGTCACCTGCCAGTGCGGCCCCCAAGTTGGCCTCAAAGGCGCTCCGCAGCACAGCGCAAGAGTGCAGGATGTATTTTTGAGTTCGCATCAACACTGTCGTGTTCCCTGCAGCTTACAGCAGCTACTTAGTGCGTTAGGGTGTCGCTGGTCTCTCTGCCGTTGCTGGATGCGATCCGTTTCAATGGATTCATGGGGGTGGGCCGTTCTTGTTTGTGAGGTGCTCCGAAAGGGACTTCCTGAGCCTCCTGGAGGCGGTGCTGGGCGGAGGCCCGACGTCGTTTGGAACCTTGCAGAAGGAAACGAGCAAGGTAAAAAGGGGCGCCCGGCTTTGAGGATCCCTCCTTTGCCCTCGGCTCGAAGGCCTTCTTTGAGTCGACGATCTGGAGAAAGTAGACTTCGTCACCCCTTTTGCCGAAGGTTTCCTCGTGGCGCACAAGCACCAGCAGAACTTCTGCATCGGTCGGGGACCCTGTCACGCCGCGCGCAAGGGTTGTGAGCAGTTCTTCGCCAGGCGGTTACAGCGCGCCTTCGCGCGAAGCGGCCCCGGGCATCGTTCTTTCGGACAGTTGCGACCGCTGCACCTTCCGCCGAAAGCTGCAAGATGCAGGCGGCCGTAACTGGCATTGCTCGGCTGCTTCTCTGACTCCTGGAAGGTGCTTCCATCGGCGCCTTCGCCATCGAACCCCCAAGGGAGCGGGGATCCCTGAAGGTTTGATCATTGCCTGATCAGTGCTCCTTTGGGCCCCGGCCCATCTTGGCCCTTCGAGGTTCGCTCACCCCTTCGTCGAGTGCTGGGAGATCCGTTTGCCGTGGAGATGACGAAAGCAGGAGTCTTTCGTCCGGAGTACCTCTCTCTCTCTCCCCACTTTCCTCACTCTCTCTTTGTCTCTCGCTCTCTCGCTCTCTCTCTCTCGCTCTCGCTCTCGCTCTCTCCCTCCCTCCCCTCCCCCCCCTCCCTCCCTCCCTCCCTCCACGGCTCCAACGCGCTCTATTGGCAGAGAACTAGTTGGATTTTCTTCTCAGCTTTTTTTTGGCAGCCTGCTGTGCGGCCAGACATTTCCATCCTTTCGATCACATCTTGCAATGGGAACCTTGCAGATTCCCACGAAACGGCAACGGCCGGTGCCGAAACTTTTCGACCCAAAGCCGACACACTCGCTAAAACTCGCAAGTACTTCGTAGTACTTCGTTGAAGGCCCTAAACCGTGGCTCTTGGAGGTGCGCCGCAGCCAAGGCAGGGGCCAAAGAGGCCCCTGCCTGAGAGACCAGGCCCTGGGCGGGATCCTTTTTGACCGCCTCCAGCCATGGCCCGCGGCAAACCCGGATCCAAGCCCGGCAAGCG